GATCAAGACTCTCTAAGTTAGCTAGGTACAATACTGCAAAATGAAATTGTATTTTCTTTTGAAAGATTGTTTCCAGGACATTATGTATTTCCTTCAAAAATGGAACCACACGAGGACATTCCCATAAAATGTGGAAATGATTTGCTGCTGCATGTCCACACTGCCTCCAGCATGTTGTGTTATGAGAATAATTGGATTTTTGAGCCGGGGTATTAAAATAACAAATTACATTCTTCCACTGAATTCCCTCCACGAGGCGGAGCTTGTTACCGACCACTGCTGCCTACAGATCCCATCCCATTCCTCTCCTGTTAGGGATAGATTACCCTCTGTTTCCCATCTTGCTTTAACATATCTCGTATCATAACCCCTTAGATTGGTCAGTGAACAATATAATTTGGAAATAATTTTTTGATAGGGTGCATCTCTATATGCATTCTCGAATATATAAATCATTTCTTCATTCCCAGTCGATAACTGGGGATGTTTTACCAAAAAAAACCCCCAGTTATCTCCCTTGCGTAGCTGTGGCTTTCAGAAGTGTCTCTGTGCCCTTGAAATGGTTTCCTCTATAGAATTACATGTATTAATAGACCACACACAACAGCCATTCAGTAGAATTTAGATAATTTTTAATCTCCAAATTCTTTTCACTTTTTTTGTTGAAAAAAATGCTTTATTTATTTATAGCATTATGCATCTTTCCTGGTCTTTAGCTTCCTATTTCTCAACTTGTCAGCTGAAACATGTTGCAGCTGACAAGTTTTTTTTAAACACAGCATCCATGCTTTTAGGGTCAAATAGGCCTAGTAGGGAGGATTAGCCTAGTAAAACTAGAGATGGATGATGAAGAAAAGCTGAAGAGAGATGGGGAAAAAGATATACCAGAGTGAGCTTTACGAATGAGTGTGTGTGTTTTTCCCCCCTTGGGGCCATTGGTGGCCCTGAAGGAATAAATGATTCAATAAAAAGTCAAATAATAATAATAATCTTTTAAAAAAAGCTCAAAACAAGATCGGGACACACGTGCGTCCAGTAAGTCTTCATCTGACTGCTTCCCCCTCTTAATTATTGCCAGAAAGCCAGTTCACAGACCCACAACACAGAGCATGTGTGTTTGTGTGTAACCACACCTCTGTGCAGCTGCTCTCTGATGCACTGAAAACAAAATGTGCAATCAAGTCGCCGGCCTGGCTGAGGAGGGACATAAAAAAGATTTATTAACACCTTTAAGTACCATCACCTTTAAAAAGATAGCACTCTCTCCCTCTCCGTTTCTTTGTTTGTTTTGAAGGTCATTATCACAACAAAGATTGTACATTTCACGTGTCAGCTCATTTCCATATAAAAGTAAAAATCGCTTGTAGCTCCTACACCTCATTAAACTAAAAATATTCTTTGTATTTCTGTTGCAGTCTCTTGCTCACAATAAACAAGTTAATCATGTCTTTAGTGCAGCTCAGTAGTAATGATCTGACATAGTTTTTAGGGCAGGCTCGTAGGGAAGCTTGTCTCCCACACTGCACAGCATTCCTACATATTTCCATAACTGAACAACTTTTAATGACACGTTTTAACTTAATCCCAAACACAAACTAGTTGTGCACATATGGCACAAAACCGAGGTAAAATACTCTACATTAGCAGTCTGCGGCCAAGTCATACATTCACTAAATCGCTAAAGAAGCTCTAGTATTTCGTATTTAAAGGCGTCACCGGTAGGTGTCGTAGCAACATTTCTAATAGTTTAGTGTGACACTGTGGTCTACTTCAGCACGTTTCAGCACTTGAGCAGCTGTGAGTAATATCCACAGCCAGACAGCTGCGGAGCTAAAGACGTTTACATTAAACATTTTCTTGTTCTCAGTATTCCAGCTTTTACTGACATGCAATCAGGAGCTGGTGATGAGATGAAACTGATTTTGTCTCAGCCTCACTGTCAGTCACTCACTAGACTTGAACACAGAGGCTAAGCCTGTGAAGAAAGGTCCGCCTGACCAGCGATGCTCCGGTCACTATGCTGACATCTCCAGCTGCGCTCTCAAGGTCTGAGCTGACTGACTTTTTTTTCCAGCTTTCTGGATCGTGTGTGATTGACAGGGCGTAAGCACGTCCTTTGGAATAATAGTAGACAAAGCAAAGCCTTAGAGGGAGGCCTTCCTTGACAGAGTTTCAGAGAAAAACGTGCTCCCTCTCTTCTTTCGTTCTTCGAAACAACAAAACCCGCACAGGCGCATTCCTGTACGCGCGTAAAACCTTCCCACTTCACCCACGGAAAAACGGGCTATCGTAGAAGACTGGAACCCACTTGACACTTGGAAGACTGGAAATTAGTTCTAGTCATATATATGATTCTTCTTCTTATTAATATTATTTAAATATGTCTTTAAAAATCTACCGCCGTGGAAAAAAATGCAAATTTTCCGTGACTTCAGTTCCATCTTACCCAAGAGCGCACAAAACAAAAAAATATTCTACTCCACAAATTACATTTTCTTTTCCTGCCAGTGTAAAAGATTCGTAAAGCCCACTCTAACGTGACAGTAGTGTAGGCACACATCATGGTAGTCTTGTCGGTTCTGAATTAGCTGGAATAGTTGTGAAGTGGATTTTTGCCTAATTTTCCCGGTGTTTGTTTACCTCTGCACTGGTTAGCGTGTTTTACAAGAAGTTGGCAAATGATGTACACATTTTGTACAAGCGGGATCTGGAGATGGGATCGGCTGACGGCGGGGGGAGGAAAACTCCACCCAGCAGATAGGATCTTGGGCAGGCAGAGCGGAGGGGGAGTTTGCGCTGAAAGAGCTCGGGCTGGTCGGACGGGACGCTCGATATAAGTCCTGCAGAAAACTTCAGAGGGGGCAAAGTCCAGCCCGGGCGAGAGGGAGATAGGGTGGAACTTGCGAGCGCGCTGGGAACTAAATCACATGTGATTTTTTACAGAAATGCTCCAAAGATGGCGGTGGTAGTAGCGACAGGAGTTCCGATTGGCTCCGGAGTGCAAAAAAGTGGATTTGTGGAGGTTTTGGTGCGAGAGCAGTGGCACAAAGTTTTGGTCAACTTGAACGAGGAAGCGCTCACGTTAAGCTGTGAGAGCAACGTTAACGAGAGTGTCGATGACAATGTCAACTCTAACGGCGTTACCAACGGATCTTACCATGACAACAGTAATACCAACTCCAACAATGGCCCCCAAACTGTGCGCACCGCGTTCACGGACCTCCCGGAGCGGGTACCCGAAGCGATCGCCAACAAAAAGCGGTGCGTCAAGGTGACCAAGCAGGAAGTCGGGGGACTTGGGATTAGCATCAAAGGAGGGAAGGAGAATAAGATGCCCATCCTCATAAGTAAAATATTCAAGGGGCTCGCTGCGGACCAGACCCAGTCTCTGTATGTGGGGGACGCGATCCTGTCCGTGAACGGTATGAACCTGCGGGACGCGACCCACGACGAGGCTGTGCAGGCGCTGAAACGAGCCGGGAAAGAGGTGACTCTGGAAGGTAAGGCATACTGGAGAGGAGGCATGTGAGAGGATAAAAGAAATAGAGGAACACCTGAAAGAGAGAACCTTTCATTGATTGACTAGATTACGGGTTGTTTTTGGAAGCCCCTGAGAGTGTTTGTGCAAGTACAGATTTTATTTAGTGAAGGAGTGAAAAGCATACCCCGACGGTAACATATCCCACATCAGTTTGTGTGTCAGTTTCTCAAATGTTGCGTAATATTTTTGGGATGCCCATAGACTCACTCAAAGACGTGAGGAGAGCAGTGCTCCTTCACTGAATGACACCTGTAATGTCGGAAGAACCTCTGGCTCCACATGGTTGCCTTCTTAGACTTAGGTTTCTCGATCATGTCCATTAGACACATTTTTTATTTTCTACTTTCCAGTTAATTACAGTCACTTGTCACTCACTTGTTACATCAATAGAATGTGCAGGAAAAAAGAAAAGAACCGGGAAAAACACTGCTTCCACTTTGACCTCTGCTGTAGGATGTAATTTATTTTCCATTAAAGAAGAGAGGTGCTGGTTGTTATACCCGGGAAAGTAAATATTATTCCAGCAGCCGATATTACCTTGGTCTTGAACAACACTGGCATTTGGTGCTGTTTTATTACATAATTTGGAAACAGGTTACAGCCTGATTGCCTTTTGCAGAAAAGAATAATTGAGATTAAGGAAATAGGTATTATGCAACTAGATGTGCCATGGGACAATCATGCAACATCAAACTCATTTCTTTTCCCTTCCTCTGGCCTTTTTTGCTTCCTCAAATGTGCAGCCTGTTCATTTTTTTTACAGTTGCTTTCAGCTAAAAGATCAAGATATAGATCAAGATTAGGCTGTGGGTAGCCACACTGAGAAAGGTGAAGACCATTTTACTACACACACACACACGCACACGCACACACGCACACACACACACATTCCTTCATACAGGAAACTGTTGCACATAAGTGCCTACTTCTAAGTTCTTTAATTCCAGTCCCTAAGAGGACTCTTGGACCCAAGACAATGAGAACAAAGTGTCTCTCTCTCTCTCTCTCTCTCCCATACACACGTGCACACGACTCTCTCTCATCTCAGATACACAAACACGGTGATCACCCTCCTCATGGGGACATGCTGGTCCCAGCTGAAAACTGTATCACCGTCTGAAAGAAGGGCAGAGGAGTTTGGAGCAGAGGAAAGTGAAGAGAGAGAAAAATGAGGGGTATAAGAGCATTTAATGGGAGACTGAGTGGATGAGAGACTGAAACAGAAGGACAGTTAACAAGAGGTTTAAAGAGGCTGAAATAAAGATTACTGTGAGGGTTCGTATTTTCAGAGTAACTGCTACTTAAGAGAGATAATTTGCACGTGAGAAATTGGGTAACACATGAAGGTGTTGCACAACAAAATGGCATCAATTAGTCAAATGTAAAGTAAAATCGAATGAATAGTGATACGTCAAACCTAAATATCAGCACCATTTTATTTTATTCTTGAGTGGGAGCCACCTTGAAAAGATTTGAGAGAGGCAGACTGTATCGTATGAGGAAAGAGATCAAGACGAAACATCTGATGTGTCTTTTAGGAGATCGTACCTGTCCCGTGGGAATAGAGTGTGCTGGTGCAATTTGTCTGCAAATGTGCAAAAGATTTGTACGTGGATGTTTGTAATCTGTGTATCCTTTACTAAAGCACCGACAAGGCATCTTGGAAACTCATTACGAAGGACGGATTTGGCTGAAAATAGGCAGCAGCTACTTCCCTCCGCTTCACACAGCTGTGAGAGGGCAGCAGTTTGACCCACTGAGAACAATGGTTCAAGCCCTGATGTCAGAGAGCCTCCTGCTTTAGTTAAAGAGTCCTCAGAGACTCTCGGTAGGCTCTGTTCTTTGCTCAGTATGCAGTCAGACAAACCAAATGGGAATCTCTATAAGGAGATCAGTAAAGGCTCTGCACCACAAAACTCCTAGCAACTGCAACCAGTAATGTTATGCTGGTCTGTTGAAGGACTGATCAACAAATGGCACCTTTAGAAATGATTGTCGAAGTTTGTGCCACAGAATTTTATTTTTGGAGTGTCTGCCTTGTGCTGTGCAGTGCAGCTGGATGTTTGCACTCAAGATTGTTTGCAGACGAGGTCCACTTAGAACACTAATCTGTCACCGTTATCGGTAATTTGACAAGGCCAAGGCCTATTATTTCTTGTTTGTGATCATGATTACAACTAGTAGTCTCTCTTTGACAGCGCTCATTGGACTGACCAGTACTCAGAACAGTGCAAAAGACCAAGAAACTGAGTGAAGATCTAAGAAGGAGAATTGTAGATTGGAAGGTTTCTTGGAGACATTTTAAAACTTCAAGCAGTTGTAAATACATATTTCAGATCTGTCACCACTTTGCCAAGGTCTGGAAGAAGACCCAAACTGTCAGCCTCAGATGAGAGGAGAAAACCCAGGAACCACCAAACCTGCCATGAGCTGTAAGCTGCTGAAACACCAGTTGCACTGTCCACAAGTGAAACTAATTCTACGCTAATTTTACACTTTAAACTTGGAGTGTCTGCCTTGTGCTGTGCAGTGCAGCTGGATGTTTGCACTCAAGATTGTTTGCAAACGAGATCAGCTTAGAACGCAGTTTAATCGGTCACCTTTAAATACCCGCCTGCGGCAGGCCACCGTGTTAAAGGCCAGAGTTTTGGTTTGTAGCGCGCTGTGTTCACAGAAGACATTTTGACATGTCACAGCAAGAAAAGCAAAGCATAAGAAAAATAATCCTATATGTAATTATAGCTGCATGAGCATGAGAAATACCAGGGCCCTGAAACAGGGGCGGCTACATGGAATTTACCAGTCATTATTTTTATTGTTTACACCTTTACTTGTGCCAGTGCAACACATCAAAATGTCTTCTGCAAAAGAGCTAATGGACAGGTGTGCAGAGGTGAGAAAGAAGGCAGGGTTCATGTTCACAACCTTCTTTTTTGTTCACTTTAACAACACTGAGTGGAATACCATGAATGCCTTTGAGGGAACACTGTTTACCCATTTGAATGATTCATGTTGTACAGATAAAGACAGCAAACAGACAGATAGAGATAGAGTCCTTCCACAGATTTGAACCAGTGGGGTGCTGGATGGCAAGTGTTTGTTTTTTTTGGTCTTGCGTTATTTATTTGTCTACCACTGTAAATGTGCTTTCTAAATAAACCTCCCTTCACTTGACTCTTCCCCAACACACTTTTGCTTTTAGACGTGATCGGATGTCACATTTAGTCAGACAGTTTGCTTGAAGTGCACTGAGCCCTTACATGACGCTGAGGGATTCTCCCGTGTCCTCCGTCAGCAAACATAGGTCTTAATCTGCCTCCTCTCGCATCATCAGGGCTCTATAGAAAACCTCTGAAATACCCTGCGTGGCAACATCACGAATGTGAACCCTTTCACCTCTCAGCGTTAACTACAATAAGAATTTTATGGTCCCTGTACTGTGTTCTTTGTTTTCTTTCTTATGTTTTCTTTTTTAAATGTTTTTATGCAGTGATGATTGACACTTCAGTCCAATCATGTGGGTGTTAAAGTTTATTCATGCCTCAGCTTAAGATGCTGAAGATGAAAAGAGATGAGAAGAATTCTTTTGGAGAAAAACACATCAATTCACTCGTCTCTGTAAATATAACAGAATAGTTTAACCCTATAATAGATGGTAGGTGGGAAAAAAGATTATTTATTTTAAGACATATATGTATTAATTTAAGTATTCATGTGATCAGTCATCAAGTGAAATTAAGGATAAATATATTACTCCTGATGTCAGATTACAGCTAAGATGTAAATTGGAGTAATTATGTAACTAGGTTGCTGGTGCGATACCTGGTTCCTCTGATCTATATATCAAAGTGTCCTATGGCAGGATACTTAACCCCAAATTGCCCCACAACGCATCCACTGATGTTATTGTGTGCATGTGTGTGATAAAGAGCTGTGTGAACGTCTGTGGGAGGGGCTTAGTGTGGCTTGTAGTGTAAAAGTGTCTTAAGGGATCAGCAAGACTATAAAAGTGCCATTATAAATAACAATCTAAAGTGATTTTTCACTGACCTCAGAGCAATAGGATGTTCTGTTAACTTGACTATTTTAGAAGCTGCCAACACTTTAAGATGTTTAAAAATGACTTAATAACAGTTAAACAATTCTCAGAAGCTTCCATCCACTGTAATCGTGGGCATGAATGTATATTTACATATACTTAAATCTTTTAATTAGTGGTGCTGAAGGTCGTCTAACTTGACAAGGCTTATTCATTTCTTGTTTGTGATCATGGGTGACTACAACCAGCGCTCATTGGACTGACCAATACTCAGAACAGTGCAAAAGACCAAGAAACTGGGTGAAGATCTAAGAAGGAGAATTGTAGATTTACACAAATTTGGAAGGTTTCTTGGAGAAATTTAAAAACTTTAAGCAGTTGTATGTAAATACAAGTTTCAGATCTGTCACCACTTTGCTAAGGTCTGGAAGAAGACCCAAACTGTCAGCCTCAGATGAGAGGAGAAAACCCAGGAACCAACCAGCCTGCCATGAACTGTGAGCTGCTGGGACACCAGTTGCACTGTCCACAAGTGAAACTAATTCTACACTATCACTATCACAGTTCATATCATCATGGAAAAATCAAAATCAATATTTTTATGATCAGAGGAAACTAATATTGAGCTGTTTGGCCTCAATGACAAGAGCTATGCTTGTACATTTAGCTTGTACAGTAATCTAAGAATACTGTACAAGCTGTCGTGCATGGTGTTGGTAGCATCATGCACTGTTTTTGCTGCTGTTACTGCACATTTGATATAGTGAAATAATAAATAATTTAAGGTGAAACTCTTAAGCTTCACCTTAAATTAGCAGCTAGATGGTTGAAACGTGGACACAACTGGGTGTTCCCATAGGACAAAGATTCCA